TTTTAAAATATTTGTTGATTCATATTCTCTGATCAAAAACAATTTTGATAAAAATATATTAGCTAACGCATGGAGAGGAAGAAACATAGCACATTATTTGAGTACTGTAAACCATAAAATAGATGATAATTCTGTACAGTGTTATGTGCAAGATGTTTACGCCTCGGGATTTTGCTTGATTCTAAAACTCAAAATCCACTCGACCATAACAATAACAATAACAAATAACAATAATTTGATCACTGTACAAAAAAAAGTCAAATTTCTAAATCAAAATATATATTATAGTATTCTGTTACATTTTCCAAAGTGATTATATAATTAGTTAACTATGCATGAAGTGGACTGAACACAATCAGTTCTCTATCGGCGTCGGGATTTACTCGCCCAGTGTTGATTGATTTATTTTGTTTCTGATTTTGTGTGTTGATATTGATGTAAAGAATATTTATATGCTTTGAGGTCATAGACAATGATCATGGTGACAGTATAATTAATGTTAAAGCTATAAAAAAAATTCTGTATCAATGTTATAATAGATTTTTGAGGATATCTTATAGTTATCATCTATTAGTATTGAGAAGTAAGAAATTCTAATCTATTGGCAGTTACTATGTACAGGTATCATATAGCTTAGTATATGAACCAATGAACATTACTGTGTTGTCCATTGAAGTGTGTTAGCCCTTGGCACAAAGTGTTAATAATTGAAAACCAGATGTACATTTATATCTTACTTGATATATATCATTCATTTATAACATTATCAGATCAGAATGATAACAAGATGTTGTCAAATTAGTTATTCCTCAAATTTAATGTCACATGTTGAAAATTTTATTATCATGCTATGACAACTGGATGTTGTCCTTTCATTTTTTATAGATTGTTTACTGTTTAAGCATAATTAATAGACATACACGTTATCATTGTTCATTATTCCTCTTGAGTGTGAAATAGGAAAAGGGAGATAACTTGTCATTGTGTACAGATTATGTTGCTTCACCCCTTCTGCCTTATCCTTTGTATTACACTCAGATGAGTCAGTGTTTATGTTTTGAGCTATGAGAGCATGTCAAGTCGCTGATATTTTGTATACCTGTTGCCATATATTTATATCTTTCTCTTGTTACAGCTACACTGTTTTATGAATCCCCAAGTCAGTCAAGAAATAAAATTACTACAAACAACATTCTTTTTTTAGTTATTTCTAACATCTAGTTCATCCTGTCATGAGAAGGTTGGCTATTCAAATCTACCAGACGACTGTGGTCCATCCAAAAACAACTTTTGTGATCACTATTTGTTGAGAAGTGCAGGATGGATCTTTCTCAAATTTCATATATAGGTTTCCCTTGGTCCCTTCTTGTGGCCGTTTTCTTTTGGAACTGATCAGAAAAACAAAATGGCGGAGAGGCAACCATTTTGGATGTGGCAGTTTTAAAATTATTGTCACCGTTTCTTCAGAGAAATGTTCAAATTTGGTATAATAAAGAGTGAAAACAGATGAGAGAAGAGAAAAGAAGGGAAAACATTTCACTGTAAAAGAACAAATAAAGATCAAACAATGATGGTCACCTGTGGGATCTCTTGTTTTCATTTATAAGCTGGTAATTGTCATTGCTCAAAATTTTGGCAATTTCCTTTTAAAAATATTTTAATTTTTAAAGGAATTCAAATTTCACAATCTGGATGGAAATGGATATCTAATACAATGTGTATGGATACAGGTGATGAACTATACTTTGGTATGTAGTTGTACAATGATAACATGTGGGTCAAGCTATGATTTGGTTATGGTCAATATATATTTGTTTTCGCAAAATAATTATTGCACTTTAACAATTTTAATTCAAATGACCAAACTCCAAGGGAGCTTTTTAAACATCTCTTAACAAAGCTGATGAAACACTATAAAGTTACATTCTTCTCCTTGATTGCTGTTTATTTTCCCTCCCATACATCTAGTTCTTACAAGAACTAAGTTTATATATTGTTGAAGAACAATGTGAAGTACATGTATTTTTCTACTAACAATGAAATTAATAGAGGACATTTCATGATTTTTTGTTTAAGATCGTATATATTCTACAAGCATGGCAGAACATCAATACTGTGAGTGGTATTCATCAGGAAAAACTACAAAATTTTCTTTTTATTACATAATTGAAAAATTGCAAAATGTTGGTCCAAGCATTAAAAAAATCTGTGACCAAAAACATATAGGAAAATGGTGTATTATTTGATGTCAGAAAGTGATGATGTTTGTAATTCTGCTTGACCACATAACAATAGGCCATGTTAATAGACTATTACTTTATGCCACTCTCTTAACAAAGAATTGCTACAAAAATTTTATAAAACTTGCAAATTGACAATCTATCCATAAATTTGGTGAACATTTGCAGTCATAACTAAAGAATAATTTTTTTTCTGCTCTGATTTGCCAAACCTAAAACTATCATCACAGTAAAGGTTATACATCACTGCAATGGCAATAATGTTTTTTTTAAAGTAATAAAGTCTTAACTTTCTCTAGTAAATATGTATAATGTAATAAGATCATAACAATACACGAGAAAAAGTTCAAGTAAAATCGTAACAAACATGAGTAATTAACAAGCGGTTACTCAGACGATGACTATTAGCTCTCAAGTCTACAGTGCTGTGGGGCCTCCTTACACATGTAGAAGCCGGTTACTATTTCAACTGAACATCATGCAGAAGACCTGTCCAGAACAACAGAGGACAATGACACAAATACAACAGGACCATGGTTTATTGTGATCTCTTCTTCCTGAATAAAAAAAGCTTTCTGGTCATTGTCTCATATGGAGATTAGTCTAATCTAAACATACCACAGTTACGGTATAGAAAAACAGGAAAGTCAGGATAAAGAACAGCAATTGGTCTTACAGATTTCTTTTTAATTGATTATCAACAGCAAGTCATTGAACTTTGGTCAGTTGACTACTGGTGTTATTCTGAAAAATTTGCTTCTTGCATCTTAAATGCGGGGCCCTAAATATTGTGAAAAACGTCTATTTTAGTAAGTGACCTTCACTGCCTTCACTATTGACCTCTAACTCAATCCCACCCTTTATATTTTCTGATTATATTAGATTGCATCAAGTTTCGACCCTATCATAAGTTATCATCTAGGAAGCCAAAACATGTTGATAAAAGTCTATTTTTAGTAACAGCTACCTTCATAGTTGACTTTTTGAACCCAAACTCAGTCACTACATTATTTCATAATATATTTTTAGTTACAGTGACCTTTGCAGTTGACCTTTCGACCCCAAAAATAATTCCACACTGTATTACCACATATGCAATCATTCTATGAAGTTTCAACTAAATCCATTTCTGAAGTTATCATTTTGAAACCAAAATTTAAAAAAAAAATCAATTTTAAGCAAGAGGCCTTTTTGACCGTTTGATCCCAAACTCATCCCACTCTGTATTATCTCTTATACTAACATTGTATGAAGTTTCAACCAAATCCATTAATCCTTTCTGAAGGTATCATCTGGAAACCTGATAAACTAGTAGGCAAAGAAGGATATTTCCTAACATAACTAAGGGGCAGGCAGGCATGGATCCAGGATTTCGTTTCGGGTTAGAAGGGTGCATATTTCTTAAACTGAAAAAAATTTCCCTCTCCTTTTAGCTCATCTGGCCAGTAAGAAGGCAGAGCTGAAAAGTAATCAGGATGGTGTTTTATGATTATATTTATAGTTTTATGAAAATTATATGTATGCTATTTCTTGCAAAGAGTTCTAGTGATCATTTTCTTCATATGCATGTATAGCCTTTCCGCCGTCCGTAGACAAAACGAAATCCTTCTCAAATGTGTTTTTCGGTTTCCTTTAATACCTTATGTTAGATGTTCAGTTTATGGTCTATAAAAGAAAACGTGTCTTGGAATTCGACTAATTATCCAATCAAAGTTCATAACATATATTTTATGACGCTTTCTTATCTATGTTCAGTGCACTGGGTCACATGATAGGTTGAAATTCGTATTTTTCGCGGCAAAATCGTTCGGAACATATCTGCATCAAGTTCCGAATATACTGAACTTCCGGTTATAAACAGACCAGCGAAGTCTTATCCTAGTAAGTATTGCGACTAGATCTCCACCAATTCTTTCAATTTTGACTGAAACTGAAGTATTCTCATTCAGGCGTTTTGACTTACGTACTTTCCGATTCGTCTTAATGCTAACACAGCTCTTGGTATAAACAGACAGACTAGACTGATGGGTAGTTGACCAGTTCAGCAGACACCTCCTACAAATAAACAGTCCACAGACACCTGTAATACAGTCCATATGATGAGACTGATGATGTAGAAATAGTGAAATATCAATTTCTCTGTAATATTTTGTTTCTGCTCTCAGTGTTTGTGTATGTACGTATGGCGTGTCTTTATATTTATAACGTAATGGGAATGTAGATGTGTTTTATTAAGTGACAAACTGGCGATTTATCTTGCAGACGAAACATTTCATATGAAATATTGCTTAGTCCTAGCAAAGACACCTAGAAGCTTTTATTTTCCTGACTGTTACACTCGTTTCATAAATTTTACATACAAGAGTACATGTTGAATATTTGATAAATTGCTTGCAAAAGCACATGAGTCATGTCTTGGATGTGCTACATGTGAAATTTTAAGATTTTTTATATACATCCCTGCTCTTTTAGTTGAGTAACATTAGCTCTCTCTCACATAAAGAATGCCTGATTCCTGTGGGAAAAGTAACAGCAATTGTCTCAATTATTTCCTTTCAGAAATATCAAAATGAATGGCTGAGAACGTAGACACAAGATCTCAACAATGGGTAACCAACTGACGGGAATAGCACCATCTCAGATCCAGCCAGTGGAACAGTACCTCAATGATATAGCAGAATATGAATTTGAAACAAGGTGCAGTGTTCTTCCTGGAAATATACAAGCTTTATTTATTTTACAACAATTGTGAAACAAGTTTGTAAGGGTCCTTAGACCTAACTGACTATGTGTCTGAATGCATGCAGATTATGTTCGTTCCACCTAGATCTGTTGTCTGCTAGCTATGATAGAGTAAGAAGATTTGTTCAATGGGATGGATTCTTGATGATAATACTACTTGTAAACAATAGGACAAACCCTGTCAGAAAACAATCTGTGTTTTGAGAGATTGCCATTGTGGTATTTGTATCATTTCAGTAACTAACAAAATTAGTTTTTTTTATTTCTGTTGCAGACAAACTGTGTACCACATTGTTTAACTTAAGCTGATCAATTTGATTTGTATGGGTACCAGAAAGATGAACAGAAATTTCGTTTTGGTCTGACAAGTTTTTATGTATGATTGTGTGCAACAGAGGAATTTATTTCAAGATTTTGGCAAAGGATTCTCATCCTTACGCTGGTTTGCTTTCTGTTTTATGGTAAAACTGAAGTATTTTGCTGAATCAATGAATATGGTTTCAAGAGATTAAAGTGGTTGTGAATTTTGAAGTTGATAGTAAAGATTGGTAGTATACTTTTGTCTAGATAAAAGCTCATCAACCAGTCTTTCTTCTATTTATCAGCAGCAATAAAATAAGACTCCTCTACATGTTTGTAAAGGTCATCTTGTTTTTTGATAATTTTATAAAAGAAAACTGTTATCGGAGACAAAGGTTACAAAATTTCATGTATTTTGATAAACCATTAAAATGAATAAAATTGTAAACATTTTAATCGCTTTTTTAGTCCAGATCTAAAAGCTGGTTTTGTAACCGTATAAACAACTTTTTTCAGTCTTGGGAGCACCAGATTTTTTAAAGTAGCCAGAACTAATACAAAGGAAGGTTTAGCTGTGGTGAAAGTGTTCGTCATACATGATCCGTCATTACCATTGGCAGAACACAGAACCAAGTTAGAGGGTAGGTACAAAAGTCATTACCACTGACAGAACACAGAACCAAGTTAAAGGGTAGGTACAAAAGTCGTTGTCACTGACAGAACACAGAACCAAGTTAGAGGGTAGGTATAAAAGTCATTGTCGCTGACAGAACACAGAACCAAGTTAGAGGGTAGGTACAAAAGTCATTACCACTGACAGAACACAGAACCAAGTTAGAGGGTAGGTATAAAAGTCTTTACCACTGACAGAACACAGAACCAAGTTAGAGGGTAGGTACAAAAGTCATTACCACTGACAGAACACAGAACCAAGTTAGAGGGTAGGTACAAAAGTCATTACCACTGACAGAACACAGAACCAAGTTAGAGGGTAGGTACAAAAGTCATTGTCACTGACAGAACACAGAACCAAGTTAGAGGGTAGGTATAAAAGTCATTACCACTGACAGAACACAGAACCAAGTTAGAGGGTAGGTACAAAAGTCATTGTCACTGACAGAACACAGAACCAAGTTAGAGGGTAGGTACAAAAGTCATTACCACTGACAGAACACAGAACCAAGTTAGAGGGTAGGTACAAAAGTCTTTACCACTGACAGAACACAGAACCAAGTTAGAGGGTAGGTACAAAAGTCATTACCACTGACAGAACACAGAACCAAGTTAGAGGGTAGGTACAAAAGTCATTACCACTGACAGAACACAGAACCAAGTTAGAGGGTAGGTACAAAAGTCATTACCACTGACAGAACACAGAACCAAGTTAGAGGGTAGGTACAAAAGTCATTACCACTGACAGAACACAGAACCAAGTTAGAGGGTAGGTACAAAAGTCATTACCACTGACAGAACACAGAACCAAGTTAGAGGGTAGGTACAAAAGTCATTACCACTCACAGAACACAGAACCAAGTTAGAGGGTAGGTACAAAAGTCTTTACCACTGACAGAACACAGAACCAAGTTAGAGGGTAGGTACAAAAGTCATTGTCACTGACAGAACACAGAACCAAGTTAGAGGGTAGGTACAAAAGTCATTGTCACTGACAGAACACAGAACCAAGTTAGAGGGTAGGTACAAAAGTCATTACCACTGACAGAACACAGAACCAAGTTAGAGGGTAGGTACAAAAGTCATTACCACAGACAGAACACAGAACCAAGTTAGAGGGTAGGTACAAAAGTCATTACCACTGACAGAACACAGAACCAAGTTAGAGGGTAGGTATAAAAGTCTTTACCACTGACAGAACACAGAACCAAGTTGGAGAATAAGAATAGACATGAAACTTTGACGACTGACGTAGAAATCAAAGCATTTTCATTAATGCAAAATGTGATTGTCTTATATACCAATAAACACAACTCAATTAGAAAGTGATTATAAATTGACAAAAGTTACATAATCTAGTGGTATAGGACACATTGTTGTAGACCAAATGATATGTTAATTGGTATGTACATTTCTTATGAGATGTTATACAAGGAGAGTCAGAAGTTTTTAGTTTTGTAAGTTTTGACGATTATAAATAAAACTGCAACAAAGATTTCCATGAAAGGATTCAGCAGGAACTGCTCAGTGTTGACAATATTTCCAATTCATTAATAAAGATTATGTTGAAAGGTGTTGGTATATATGAACTAGGATAGAGATTTCAGAATTCTCTACCTTGCCACATTATCTTGGATGTTGTATATAGTAATTAATTCTTTATGAAACAAGCCCTTTCATTGACCAATAGTTTTAGTAACATCACCTTTGATTGGCCAATGGCAATTCATTAATAAAGATTATGTTGAAAGGTGTTGGTATATATGAACTAGGATAGAGATTTCAGAATTCTCTACCTTGCCACATTATCTTGGATGTTGTATATAGTAATTAATTCTTTATGAAACAAGCCCTTTCATTGACCAATAGTTTTAGTAACATCACCTTTGATTGGCCAATGGCAATTCATTAATAAAGATTATGTTGAAAGGTGTTGGTATATATGAACTATATAGAGATTTAAACACACCTTGCCACATTATCTTGGATGTTGTATATAGTAATTAATTCTTTATGAAACAAGCCCTTTCATTGACCAATAGTTTTAGTAACATCACCTTTGATTGGCCAATGGCAATTCATTAATAAAGATTATGTTGAAAGGTGTTGGTATATATGAACTAGTATAGAGATTTCAGAATTCTCTACCTTGCCACATTATCTTGGATGTTGTATATAGCAATTAATTCTTTATGAAACAAGCCCTTTCATTGACCAATAGTTTTAGTAACATCACCTTTGATTGGCCAATGGCAATTCATTAATAAAGATTATGTTGAAAGGTGTTGGTATATATGAACTAGTATAGAGATTTCAGAATTCTCTACCTTGCCACATTATCTTGGATGTTGTATATAGCAATTAATTCTTTATGAAACAAGCCCTTTCATTGGCCAATAGTTTTAGTCAACATCACCTTTGATTGGCCAATGGCAATACCAAGATATTATCATAGAAAAGAGTCCACTGTAAATATGAAAAAATAATGCAATCTGTGATTGAATTATAAGAATGATATTTTTATTATTAAAAAGTTAATCCTTGAATTAATGATTAAATAAATTGATAAATTACGAAACTTCTTAATTTCTTTGATGTGTTATCTATTTAGATATTCGCCTTCGACTCCATGGGACATCAAACTGCTTGCCATTCCAAAAAGATGTGGTCAGTATACAACAAGGGATTATAACACTAATGTTTATGGACCTTTGCTGCTCAGTAAAGTACATTGATTTAAAATCCAAGTCATGGCTTCTACCACCATCATCATCATCAGATTGTGGGCTGTTTGATTCATTATCTGTCTTTCTGTAGTCCTGTGGTCCAAAATCTGTTCTTGAACTATTCTTTTTTGTATAAAGAAAATGGTCGACATGCAGCCATCTTGAAGTATGTTTCATTGCCATACTATATATTAAATGGTTAGGTCATTGATACTAAAACTGAAAGAATTTAATAATTCCTCAGGGTGACAGTTCTAGTTTGATATGATTGTACATGAGATGGATTTCTATTATTTACAGCAATCAGACAAAGCAGCCCTGTTGTTTCGTCAGTACATCAAAGACAGTCTGTATGACCGTATCAGCACCAGGCCATTCCTGAACACAGTGGAGAAAAAATGGCTAGCCTTTCAGTTGTTATGTGCCCTGAACCAATGCCACAAACTAAAGGTAAGATGAAGGGATCCCTGATCAGGCTAGTTCCAGCTTTTGGTACTACCAGCTAAAGGTGAAGATTAGCTGTCTCAAATAAATTTTATATGTAACTCAAATGTATTGGCCAGTTGTTGCTAAGTTTCAGTAAAGTCTTAACTTACTGGGAGGACTTCTAGTTCTCTAGGTATCATCCATAAAAGTGATTTATATCAAACAGGATTTTATTTTGTTTTTTCATTGCTAACTGTATTGTTTTTCTTAAAAGATATTTTAAATGATGCCTGTTAGCATGTTATGTTGATATATCTGTTAAAAATGATGGTTACACACCAGTACACAAAAAAAAGGAAAAATTATTTCATATATTTATAGCTGATGAAATAGTAAAATAGCTAAGTGTAAACATGAATTTTATTAATAAAGCTAAACAGAGAATAAACACCAGAAATCTATATAGTTTATAACTTGAGCCCCAATAATAAAGTAACCTCCTCCCCCATTTAAAAAAAAAAAAAAAATTTCAACTTGCATGATCGTCAATATTTTCAATCTCTCTCACATGATGAATGATCTATCAATAAGTGTATTATCATATATAAGTAGCAATCTGTCCTGGTCTCATGGAGGCTTAATTTATTATGCTTTGCATCAAGTTTCTGTCTATAAAGTAAATGAAATCTATAAAATACTGCTGTCCCCCTCTTTCTGAATTATGTAAGTGACCTATGCATTTAATATAACAAATACGGTAATTGTTAATGATGAACATTTGTCATGTTAAATACACTGAACATACTTAATAATCAAATTTTATAACAATGTCAATTTTGAACAAATCAATGTCAAAATTCTTGCATTGGCAATAATTGCTATAATAAGGACATGTGAACATAAACTGTAACCAGTGCGATCATAGTTTAGTGCAATAACTTCAGCATGAAAAGCTCAAAAATGAGATTACTGCTAAAATATGTAGGTTTACAGTAACTTTTATTATCTGACAGGTGTGTCATGGAGACATAAAGGCGGAGAATGTGATGGTGACGGGATGGAACTGGTTATTACTTACAGACTTTGCCAGTTTTAAACCAACTTACTTACCTGAGGTTTGTTATCACACAGGCACAGCAAACTTTTAAAAGAGTTTGCTGTGTTTTTATTTTCTTTGTAAGGCAAAACAGAAAATGTTTTCCGTTTCAAGTAGAGGTTTGTGAGCATACAGACACAGCCAACTTTTAAAAGAGTTTACTGGGTACTTTTCCTTTGTAAGGCCAAACAGAAAATATTTTCCATTTCCAGTAGCTCTACCAGCTTACTTACCTGAGGTTTGTGAACATATACAGGTACAGCAAATCTTTATAAGAGTTGGCTGGGTTTTCCCATCTTAGGTCAAACAAAAAATATTGCCTGTTTCTGGTAGGTTTACCAACCCCAATATTTTCTACTAATTGTAAGCAAGGCAATTTGCATAGAAGTCAACATCTCTCTCTTATATACATAAACTATGTAATTTTATCTATTAAAATACAATAATTCATCTACCTACCTACCCTAAATGTGTTATAGGAGACACAAATTTTTTTTTGTTTGGCCTAATGATGTCTTTTTAAAATGCATTTCATTTTATCATAAAATTATTGTTGCTTGATTTGTAACATGTAATTTTCCTAGTATTTTCCCACTGGTATTAACAGTATCATTCCTGCAGATTTATCATAAATATATAACGCTTATCTTTTGAGCAAATGTATATTATTAAATATGTTTAGTACAGAAAGTAAATATTATTATTATATGCTACTGTGTGCCATGAAATATTTTGAACATGTAAGTGTTAATGTCGTGTCCATATTAGCCTGGCTATTGAAAATTAAAGTTCATATGTATGAAAAAAAAGTACATTTCTTTTGAGAAGAAAGTGCTGTCAAAAGTAAATTTGTATTAATTTTATTACAGGATAATCCATCTGACTTTTCATATTTCTTCGATACATCTCGGAGACGGACCTGTTACATTGCTCCAGAAAGGTTTGTGGAGGGTGGTCTGAAGAATTTGGAGAGTGGAGGTCAAACTGGTAACCTTGACCTTACCTCTACTAGTGAGGTCAAGGCCGGTGAGCTTACCCCAGCCATGGACTTATTTTCAGCAGGGTAGGTATACAACAGACATGGAGCAATGAAGTGATGTAATATCAACTTAACAACCAAATTTTTTCTTATAATGCCAGCTGGTCACAATGAAGGCTTTATCAGGTCAGTAGAAGTGTTAGGAGCTCTTACTATAAAAATACTAAATTGGAGTTTGTTCTGACAAGGCGTTGACCTAGATGGCCAACAATTATGGCCAAGACCAAGTTGGTCTATGAGAACCTGTGTGGTTTATAACAGGTAAACATTGTGACATTGGGTGTGATGACATGAAATGAATGTTGTTTTCAGGTGAATACGAGGATATAACAGAGAGGGTATATTTCACCTTCTGAATGACATTGCAATATACTGTTGATGGACAAGAACAACAGGAAAATAAGCAATATGTCAATATAATCAAAATCCAAACTCAAATTCAATAAACCTAGGGCAAAAAGTGCACAAAGGAAAGTTTTACACACTTTTCATAGTCTCCTGTAAAAGTGCAAGGAGAATAAGACCATGTGTTACAGAAGAGTGAGCATCTTCTGCTTCATCAATGACACCAAGTTCAGTCTGTTCAGTTTTCACCCTTAAAAATCATTGTATGGGGCAGCTATCCTTGCCTTTTTGAGTAGGAAAAAAAATCTTATTCACTGACCAATGATTGTTGTTACAGATGTGTTATAACAGAGCTGTTCACAGAAGGTACGGCCCCATTTGATCTGTCACAGCTATTGTCCTATAGACATGGCGAGTACAGTCCTTGGAAAGTCCTGGAGAAGATAGAAGACACAAGTATCAGGGTAATGTCAGGATCTAATTGTCATAACTTTTGGTTTATATACAAAGTATAAAGACTTTTTGTGTGTAACTGCATTACGGAATATTTCAACTCAGAACAATACACGAAAATACTAGCTATTTTGAGTATTTTATGCTGTGTAGTTAAAAGCTAGTAATTTGTATAGCAGTATTTGATTTCAAAATTTAGAATTCACCTCCTCCAGAAATGTTTTCTGAGGCGAAATAGTGCATCTTGGGGGTTGGAGTTCGGAGATTAGGGTTAAAATTTCAAATAAGAAACCTTGTCTGTTAATTTAGATTTTAGATAAACATTCCAATGATTAAATATTATACGACATTTCAATTGAGAATACATTTGTACGTCATTATAATACTGGCATGTATCAAAAAATTTTATTGCAGCAAATTAAAGATGAAATGTTATACCCCCTCCTTCAGCAAGGGGGGGATATAGTAATCAATTTGTCTGTGTGAGAGTGTGTGTCTGAGAAAGTGCTTCATGGACCCCTGATTAGATTTGGTTCATATTCACACCACATCATCATATCACCATTGTCTACACCTAAATATATTTTGGTGGTACATAAATAATTAGTAAAGGTTAAATATCAAGGTCACCCACAGTAAAAACAATTATGAATGTTCGTGCCAAGTAATCTCCACACATTAGTGATGCCTTTTTTTCTCAGGACCTGGTGCGACACATGATAAAAAAGAACCCTGCACATCGAATGTCTGCAGAGGAGTATCTGATCCAGCAGAGGGGCAAGGCATTTCCTGAATATTTCTATACATTCCTTAAATTATATGTACAGAGATTTGCCACAGCACCTATACTCCCACCTGACGATCGTATTAACAGGTTTGTGTTCTCACTTCAGACCGTGAATGATAACTCAGATAGTGTTTTATTATCACATCATCCACCTGTTATATTATAAGTGAATTCACCCATATATATATATTTTATATCTGTATGTCACTTATGTAATATACTCTGAAGCATTTTTCATTGGCTGTGCCAATCAGAGATCACTTGCAATGTCATTATATGGATGATGATAATATGTGATGAATTGAAAATGGCTGCCTCCATTTCATTGTGTCCTCCACATTTTTACTTTAAACATAGATTGTAAAATAAGTAAATGTTAAATGAAATTTTCCAAAGCTATGTGATGAAAAAGCATCATATTTTTTTTCTTCATTTCATATGAGACTTTATGAAACTCATATCAAAATTTAAGTTTTGCTTGCCAAGGTTCACAAAAGTAAAAATTCTAAGGTTCATTTCTTAAAATTTCATATGAAAGGTCCTATACATAATCTTCCAGTGGGAATTATTCTCTGTATCACAGAGAAGGTTTACCCCAAATGATCTGGGTGACAAGTAATGGGCCTCCCTTATGAGACCCTGCCCCAGAATAACCCTGGCTGTTGACAGGACAATAAACCTAGCAAATAAATTCTAACGTGTCCTCCTTTGCATTCAATTTGATAAAGGATTCGGAGAGTTGGTGTGTGCCAGGAAATACACTATACTGTGTTATAACTTGTTTTTTGTCAGATTGAAGCGAGATTATGAGCTAATTTTGAAGAGCCTTTGTTTGGATGAGAAGGATCCGGACCAAAACACAGGACTTGTTCTCATCATATGCCTCCTTGGCTCCAGTGCTCGGAAATTACATGTATGTACACTGATCACAGGACCTTTAATTACAAACTAAACAAATGTCCTCCCTATGAAAATAACCTTTATAGTTGCAACTTAACTCAATGCCTGTTCATAATGATATTTTAAATGCATTGACTTAGCAGCTCAAACTTAGGTTGTTGAAAATTGAAGTTTGTATATTAATTTAAGGCTTGAATTCTCGATGATTTTCACTCAATTATCAAACTGTTTCCCGAGCCATGGTAAAAGGTATCTCAATTTGTTTTTTATTTAATGTAAGATTTAATGAGACTTGCCTCAACATTTTAATTTTTGCTTGCAAGGTCTAACAAAAACATAAAATTCTACAAATTATTTCACATAAAGGTAATCTGAAATGAAATGAAAACCCATTTAAGATCCTAGATATATATAAAGATATGTGCTTATTTACTTCAAGTCACATATTTACTTTTCAGTTTTGCAGTTCCAAGTTAATTGCTCTAGAACTGTTGCTGAAGTTTTCCAAGTTCCTTACACCAGATGTCATACTAGATAGGATCATTCCATATATGGTCAGTGATTTAATTACTGTTAAATCATTGATTTTCATTTTTTTTTTTTTAATCAATTTTTGTTAAATATGTATATATATGTCTATAAAATGGCAAAAAGATACATGAAATGTAGTACTAGTGGCTTTTCTGAGTAAAATTTTTCCATGAAGTCTAGTGCCAAAGAAAATTTCTAAATTATGTAAAACCATGAAATTTGAGCCACCTAAAAATGTATTATCTTACATTACTTAACTGAATAATTTATTTATCAGAACAAATGTTTTCAAAAAACAAAATGTATTAAAAATGATAGACACTTTTGATTTGCTAATATGTTAATGATTTTCAAGGAGTTATGCCCCTTTTATGGATATCGTTATGATACAAGTTGAATTCTCTTAAAATTGCAATTTTAGTTATTGATACTATATTTGTCAACAGCTGTTTTTCACAAATGACCGCTCAGCCAGAGTTAGAGCAGAAACCATCCGTGCTATTACACAGTGCCTAGTTGGCATCAAATCTGTCCCTCGAAGGTAAGTCGAGACCATCAGAACTGTAACACACTTCCTGGTCAGTAACAAGCTTGTCACTTCAAGGTAAGTAGAGACCATTAGAAGTGTAACACAGTTCCTGGTCAGTAACAAGCTTAATCCTAAATTTTTGTTTTATTGACTTCAGAATTGAAAATTCTTCAAAGTTGTAATATAATATTCAATAACCTGTGACAAACAAACAGATGTGTGTGTACAGTAATGATATCTGTGCATTAAAACTGATACATATTTCTGGTGTGGATTACTTAGTGTTAAGATATATCTATCACTAGTAAAGTGTTAAGATATATCTATCATTATTAAAGTATTATTGTAAAACAAATGTCATTATTTGTTTTTTTTCTGTTGTAGTGATGCCAATGTTTTTCCAGAATATATTTTCCCTAATTTGGTAAGTCTCTACTCTATCATTGATCTTTTATCATCTTTTTTGTATGTTTACCAATAAACATGTATATTTTCTACAAGGTAATTTTCATATATTTTCCCTAAATTGTATCTGGGTGGTTGGATGATGAAGTGGTAACACAATCCCTGTTCACCGGGGCGTATGATATTGGGGTCACCTGCTCAACCACTTGGATTTTCCTCGGCTATAGTGGTTTCCTCCTACTGCAAAACCTCTCACAGGCGTTAATTTGAGACAAGAGTGAATAGTATAAGTTAATAAGAATGACTTATATTGCAATTGCTGTAAAATAAATAAACAAAGTTTGATTTTAGATTGTACCTTTTGTCTCAAATGATGTTGTTTGGTCAGAAAATCTGAACACTGTTATATTTTATTGTTGGTATTGCAAGTTCAAATTATTTCTAGTAGACCATCTGTGCTTGAAGATCTGCAAGTCAGAAAATATCAGGAAATGATTTGTATATCATTTATATACTGTAAAATATTTTCATTATAGACACATCTGACTCAAGACCCTGCCACCATGGTGAGAGCTACATATGCAGAAAACATTGCCCAGCTGGCGGAGACTGCTTTAGGGTATGTATGAGCTACAGTGATTTCTAACTGATCTGAACCAATAACATAGGTCAGTTGTTAATAACGAGCAAGACAGGTCGGTTATAAGGAGCATGATCATGGGTGATTATTTTATAGTCTACTGTAATTTCATAGACTTTTAAAATGTTTGATAGTTTTGAGCTTACCAAGTTTGGTGGACTGATCTCCTTTAATGATATTTATCTGCTAGTTCGTACAATTATCAAAAGTTTCTTTCAATAATTTATTCCAAACTACCAAGTAGAATTTTTACTTTGACTGGAATGATCTTAAGTGGGGATGCAGTATCATAAAGAATTTGCACTGACCTTCCTCCAGATAGCTCAATGGCCAAGCCAACAAGTGAAATATATGGCATGTTATTGTATAGATTTTGTGGAACATATGATCAATATCAGTTGTGAGATTATCTTCAGGTCCCCAATATACAACTGCTGAACATGAACATATTGCTATATTCATGCTTCAAATACTCTTTTTATCTATTGGGCTTACCAGATAATCCTTTAGTCGTAGCCCAAAGATGATTTGCTATGCAGGTCCCCGATTTATCAGTTCTAGAGTTTGTTTATATCAGTGTATTACCCTGATCCCCAGGGCATGTTCACATTCTTAATTAAGAAATATACTAATTAGTGTTATGCAAATGTTGCTTATTGTTTGAAGTTTAGTACTTTGGAATGGATTTTGTCACTCTACAAGAATCTACAATACTTGTCTGTACTTTGCCTGTATATCTGTATAGGAATTTAATCCGTCTGTTTCAGTGTTCTGGAGCCTGTATATCTGTATATGAATTTAATCTGTCTGTTTCAGTGTTCTGGAGCCTGTATATCTGTATATAAATTTAATCTGTCTGTTTCAGTGTTCTGGAGCCTGTATATCTGTATATGGATTTAATCTGTCTGAATTGTTTAAGTGTTCTGGAGCCTGTATATCTGTATATGGATTTAATCTGTCTGTTTCAGTGTTCTGGAGATGATGCAGCTTCAGGAACTCGAAGAAAGTGTTGAGAATGAGAATGTAGATTCTGAAGGTGGCCTCTGTCAGGTAACCACCATTCATTAGAATGTAGATTCTGAAGGTGGCCTGTGTCAGGTAACCACCATTAATGAGAATGTAGATTGTGAAGGTGGCCTGTGTCAGGTAACCACCATTCATTAGAATGTAGATTGTGAAGGTGGCCTCTGTCAGGTAACCACCGTTCATTAGAATGTAGATTGTGAAGGTGGCCTGTGTCAGGTAACCACCATTCATGAGAATGTAGATTGTGAAGGTGGCCTGTGTCAGGTAACCACCATTCATGAGAATGTAGATTCTGAAGGTGGCCTGTGTCAGGTAACAACCATTCATTAGAATGTAGATTCTGAAGATGGCCTCTGTTAGGTAACCACCATTCATTAGAATGTAGATTGTGAAGGTGGCCTCTGTCAGGTAACCACCATTCATGAGAATGTAGATTGTGAAGGTGGCCTCTGTCAGGTAACCACCATTCATTAGAATGTAGATTGTGAAGGTGGCCTCTGTCAGGTAACCACCATTCATGAGAATGTAGATTGTGAAGGTGGCCTCTGTCAGGTAACCACCATTCATTAGAATGTAGATTGTGAAGGTGGCCTCTGTCAGGTAACCACCATTCATGAGAATGTAGATTGTGAAGGTGGCCTCTGTCAGGTAACCACCATTCATGAGAATGTAGATTGTGAAGGTGGCCTGTGTCAGGTAACCACCATTCATGAGAATGTAGATTGTGAAGGTGGCCTCTGTCAGGTAACCACCATTCATTAGAATGTAGATTGTGAAGGTGGCCTCTGTCAGGTAACCACCATTCATTAGAATGTAGATTGTGAAGGTGGCCTCTGTCAGGTAACCACCATTCATGAGAATGTAGATTGTGAAGGTGGCCTGTGTCAGGTAACCACAGTTCCTGTAGTGAAAAATTGTATACCCCGGCCTTGTTATTGAGAAGATTTGGGAGATATAGTGATATCCATGTCTACTCTGGCTTTTTGTATCACTGATACATAATTCTTGTCATATCTTCTCTAATCCTTAACAGATGTTAATTCTCTAATAATGTTTGTTATCAAGGGATTATAATGTACAGAAGTGAGACATAAGATTACTTCAGATGAAATTATTCTGAAATGTTTCAAGTTAGGTCAAGGTCACCATTAGCTTTTAAAGAAAACTCATTTTTTTTCATTAGAAGAATACTTCACATCCAAAGTCTGACTGATCAATTTTTTTTTGAGATTGAAATTTCTGTCAAAACAATTAAGATAGCATCTATATTCAGAGATTGTCTCTGTTCATGTAAGATTTATGAAAAATTGTGTGAGGCTCTGGTGAGGTAAAAATGAAATATTTGTGATTAGATAAACATCATAAGTAATAGAAAGGAATGTAATATTCTTTTTAACATTTAACTTATATTCTGTTTTTTTTTCCCAAGAAAACAAAACTTGAATACAGTGACGCAAAATTTATATTGTCAGTATCCTCAATCTTATATCTCTCTCTTTGTTGACATTACAATAGAAACAATGCAAACCTTCAGCCAATGGCAGCTTTACTAGGATACATTATAAATGTGTTGATAACAAAACTAAATGATGTAATAGGTGTTATTTCACTGATAAACTTGATGGAGAACTATTTTTTATATGGCTCCAATCCTTTATTATATTAGTATGATTTTAAGGCCCCGTACACTATTGGATTCATTATAAACATGTCCGATTGTGTTCACAGTAAGCATTCACAATGTCTACAAACTGATATAGCTGGAATAACCATTGTATAACTGTTGTAGGCCAGCTATGACATGGAGCTGCTGTCACTACAGGAGACCATACAACAAAAAGTCGTTATGTTACTCAGTGACTCGGACAACGTGGTAAAGCAGGCTCTCTTGGAAAATGGAATCACCAGACTTTGTGTGTTCTTTGGCAGACAGAGAGGTAATACCAAAAGGACTAATTAAAATTATTTACTTCGTCTGCGAGAAGTTTAATTTTGCTTAATGCCTTAGTATAGTATCAGGGTATCACATAGCTTGGGCTTAGGGCTATCAATTTGTTTTAATGAGTGACCTTGTTCTCCTTTCAAGGTCACAGAAGTTGAATATGTTTAAATCTCTGAAAAAAAAGTTCAAAGTAAAAACCAGGAACACTGGTTAAAATGGTTTACCAGAAATACTGGTATAAAATGATATCAGATTTGTTTAAATGAATGGTAATCAGCCACATTTAAGGTTACAAAGGTCAAATGAATTTTAATCTGGAAAGAAACTTTGTTCAATGTAATTGAAAAATTGAGGTAAATAACATATTACTAATGCAATGCTGAGAAAAATGAGATTTGTATACTTTCATGGTCTCATATATCAACCCTGTACAAACCTTGAAATCTTGAAATTATTTTGATGAGTAAGCATTAGTCATATAATAACTGTATTTGGTTTGTGATTTTCTGTTATGAAGGGATATAATTCAATGTTCAGACCTCATGTAATTTTTAAGGTTACAATTTGATATAATGATTTAAAATCTTTCAACTTAATTCATAAGAGTACAATAATCATATTTTATTGAATTTGGTCTTAACCCTCTATAAAGTTTACTGAAATCAGACCATTTCTCTGTCTGTTTCAATATGGAGTAAAACTCAGGGAAACTCCTGTTTCAATTAATACATTGATGTGTTACCTCGCCTACTTAATTAATTTTTGTTCTTTTTTCTTTCAGCTAATGATGTCCTATTGTCACATATGATCACTTTTCTCAATGACAAGGTAGGTACATGGAAGATTTTACAAAAGATACACAACTTAAAACCACCCTTCTACATTTTAGAATTAGATAGGGTACAGCCAAATAATGACATTAAACTATGTGTACATCATACAGCTGATTTCATGTTCTTGTCGAAGAAAATGAAGATTTTGCTGATGTTGTAAAATCTTATATCTAAATGGGGCTTGAATTTTGTCGTTTAAAAAATATTTGTTTGGCTAATGATTTTGTGGACAGGTACTTGTACTAAAATTGATGTCAATATCAATTGTTGATAATTCCATAGAAGTTTGAATTTGTGAATTAATTACATGTATATTTTACAAAACCAGTGAAAATATATACAAAAATTAATAGTAACCACTTGACCTTTACCTTCTTTAATCATTGTAGACTGACTGGCATCTTCGTGGATCTTTCTTTGGTAACATAGTGGGCGTGGCAGCCTATGTTGGCTGGCAGAGTTCATCCATCCTCAAACCTTTACTGGAACAGGTACAGTGCAACAAAGTTATGTTTATCTGTCAAGTGAGTTTATAATGCTGTAGATATAAGTTTTTCTGCTCTATTAATGGAAGATTGATCATACACTTTTAGGGAAGTCATTTAGATCTATGTTAATTAATGTTAATCAATAATTATTTAAGGGCCTGAGTGACCCAGAAGAGTTTGTGGTACATAAAACTCTGGGTGCCTTGAAGTCTTTGACAGAACTGGGGCTGATACAGAAGACTATGCTACAGGAGTTTCTACATGAGATAGTGCCCTTCCTGGCTCACCCTGTGAGTATTGATCTGGTTCAAAGTATGACTAATTAAAAGAAAATTGATATTGGAAAGTTCTAGATGTAGCCTGAAGACTTCATAGTATTTAACCGATAAAACATATTGATAGATATTGTGTAACAGACTGTGTTATTTGTAGATTCAGAAGACCTTGTGTTATACATTTGGTAGAGTTTCACTAACAGGATAAATATTGATTTATATTTTGTTGGTATAATTTAGGAGCATCTATATGAAAAAAAAATTGCAGTTACTGTCATTTAAAATTGTTTCAGAAATTAATTAGTCTAGTTATAACAGAGATGATGACAAATTTACTTTGGCATTTAATTCATAGATCACCTCCCTTTGTTGTTTGAAGAAAGAAAGAGATTTGAATATGATGTCATTTTAATTATGACATCACAGGATGCAAGATATAGTGTAATGGTACAGATTGGATGAGACAGAAAAAATCCACAACTAGGTAGCAGATGAGATTTCCCCGTCTCATGTTCTTCTTGTGTTCTAGGGTATCTGGATCCGCCAGGGAGCTGTTGGTTTTATCTCTGCTCTATCTAAGACATTTAACATTGCGGACAACCACTGTAAGCTACTGCCCAGTCTCCAGCCATTCCTTAATCAACCTATTTTACAAGTCGACAAGGAGGTATGCTTGTTAAGGGTGGTTGGAAAATGTAACAGTGTGTACTGGAATCATGATCTGTGAACCTCAGTTTCTTAGTGGAATGTATTAACTCTGTGTGATGTAGACAGAAAAATCTCACAGTTTTGGAAGCTTTATAAGTTTAACATTGAGGCTTTTCTGAAGGCTGAATTTGAAAATTCTTTCTTTAATTTACTATACTAGAACAATGTTCTCTAGTAGCAGAACGTCTTTCAGATGCATCTGTTGAATGTCCTGTTCGACCCAGTGCCAGTTTGACAACAGGCGTGCTGAGATCTTTTAATTCATCTTTCAGATGTATCTATTGAATGCTTTGTCCGATCCAGTACCCAGACCTGTGTTTGACTATGTGATGAGGTCCAACACTCTGGACCGCCTGTTTGACATGCTTCAGAAGAGACAGTATATGAGGAGACACGGACATAAGCTGTCCTATCCTGAACTCGACGAAACCATGTCACTGGTGAGACCCACTTTACTGTGATAAAATTTCAGTCTTGTTGGTTGGTAGAAATAACAGTATTGTCTTTTCAAGAAAATCATGTTGATCCTGCAATAAATTCACATGATAATTACTTCAGTAATAATTTAAGGGGCTGTCATAGCTCGGTCAAATGAGCATAGTACTAAGGAACCTTAGGTGAGAATCTGGTGTGTGAGGTGTGGTCCTTACTCTGACTTTCTATTTCACGGTAACCAGAGACCACAGAGCATCCTGTGTTGTTGTGGTTTTTTTTTTAAGCAAGACACTTTACCTTAATGGGCCTACATTATACCTCTCCACACATCAAAATTGGTAGCATTTGTCACCTTGGACTTGAGGAATAAATGCATCGTTTGTGAACTTAAGTGCACATCATTATGTTTTTTGTTGTAGATTTTCAGGAAGCTGATATCATTTGGTATGACTGAAGCACACGAAGACAAAATATTTGTAAGTTTTCTCTGTCTTACTGAAATTTTTAATAATATATTCCTTCCTAGTTAGAAACTTTACTTTGCTCTAGCTGAAGTTTATTTGATGATAATATAAAGATAATTGTTGTTAATACTGGTGAACATTTTTCTCTCACATCTGTATTTTACTTACAATTTATTTTCATTAGAAGCAAGATTTTAAAAATCTCACATGAAGTCTATCTGAAATGCACTATATTGAAATTTAGAATTTTGTCACAGTAAATAAGATATTTTCTTTGCCACTTATATGTAGTATATTTACTTTATAGATCTAAGCAATCATCGCCAAAGTGTGCCATGAATAAATATCAGATGTATTCTACAAAAATAATATCATTTAAATGTAAAAAGTAAAAAAAAAATTAAAATAAGATTTAAAAAAAAAAAAAAAAAAAAAGATGTGAAAATTATAACTTATGTATAACCATGGAATTGATTGATATATATTGTAAGCAGGAAAAGTGCTTAAGTATTACAGCAAAGATATGTACATTTAATTTATTTGAAAAAAGGGAAAGAAAGTTAAATTTATCATTTAGGATATTGTAACATGTTCCTAATTAAGATTCTGTTTAATGATATGTGTTCATTTTCAGGCTATGAAGGAGTACATCTTGAAGCTACACAGAGCCAGAGCTGGGTAAGTGTACAGGAAATCACATAGTAATGTGTAAAGTTTTAACATTGTGGTACGGTGCTAAAGGAAAATGGGATACAATAACTGATTTGGTAACCTGAAAAACCTCAGGTGAAGAGCTGCGGTGCATGCTTGATGCTCTTTACCTTTTATGGTTGGTGCTTCTCAGGAAGCTAAGAAAGATCGGTCTGTGAGGTTTTAGTCCTTGGGAAAGACTGTTTACCCTAATGCATGTGGCAGGCCTTTTGCATGTTGTTCAGTGACGTAGTCACCAGCTATATAAAAGATTGATGATTTGAACATATATATCAAAGAAAATACAAAAGGAACATGTACCCATTATATATTTCTTACTTATTTCACCATCAGATCATCAGAAAACAACAGCTCCAGCGAGTCTAATGACACCTACAAATCAGGAATGTTATCTATAGTGGGTATGGGGCGGAGTATCACCCGCAGACATGCCGATTTACTGAAACCTAAGGAAAACAAGGGAGATAATCCTGCAACACCACCAAGGTATATTTAGATAATCATAGATACTTTTCACACTTTTCTGTTGGAATTTCGACTTTTATTTCTCCAACTGTGTGACTGTGTTTGTTTATGTTCAATGATGCTATTCATGTTTTTGAATTGATGGACAATTTATTTCCAGACTTTTATTTCAAGGATTAATGCATAAAACAATTGATAATTATTGAATCAAAAGATGTAGTCCATAAAAGCTGTTTTTATTGTTTATAGACTTCAGTTTAAAAAATTACCATGTATTAAATTTAATATTAAATGTCGTAAATGTGGTTATATGCATTTAATTGAAATTGATCTTTTTGGAATTTTGTAGAAGGAAGAAAAAAATTCCACCAGTGGAACCATCTGTCTCAATGGTGAGTTACCTTTGATTCCTTTTGTTTGTTTGGATGTCGAATTTAAGTGTGCAGCATGGTCGAACCATAATTCTTTATCATATTAACAAAAACATTTTACAATAAGGACCTTATTAAGTAGGAAAGATGCATTTGACTGGGTTCAGTGGCTGTTTGTATTGATATACATAGTAAAGAACCTGTTTATAAAACTTAAACAATTCTAAATAGTGACATCATGTTATAATTTGTGTTATGAATGGAGATAACCCTGGCATAATTAGATTAAGTGACAACATAGGGTAGAAGATTTAATTAAACTGTGTGGGAGAGAAAAAAATGATTGGGAAAACAAAGAGAATGTATACATATACTTATTTGAATGTTTGAATATAATTAATAACAACTGTGTTACATGGACTGTGATGACAGGATTTGTCAATAAAATGTTTGTTCTTCTTGGAAAAAAAATAAAATCCTGCCTTAAAAATAAAGTTAGACTCGTAGACATAAAATTATGATTATTTATTATCAATAAAAGCATTTTTTCCGAATGTTGCACAAAAACTTTTACCAAAAAAACCCTTTACATATGGGTAATTGAACAAGCAAACTAATGATTTTTTATCTTTTCATTTCAACTTCAAAAACACTTTCAGAATGCTGAATGGAAAAGCATGTTTGGATCAAATGATTCTGCAACATCACTAGGATCATCTCCTAAATTGAAATCATCAGTGAAGTCAGAGACCCCAGACAAGCGTTCTGTACTCACAGCAAGTGGTATCAGCCAATCGTCTTCATCCTCTTCAGGCAGTTTTGTTACGATGTCACCAGGACAGGTGATTCTCTCAGACTCATCCAAATCGAATGTGTCACAAAACCCAGAGAAAAGCTCATACAGTAAGTCCTAGAATTGTTTGGCAAACACGAAATAAAAGTTTTTGTTTGGCCAAATTTTAAACTTAAAGTTTGAATTGATTAAAAAACACAATTTAGAAAGAGAAGAGAAATGAATTGAAGGGCAATAGATTTGAATAATGATAAAAGGTGCTTGTCATTTTTAAATTGAACCATTTGTTTTGATGCGATTTCTGTCAGATTGAGAAAATATGCTGGAGACAGAGTATATCAAACTAAGACATTTAACTTGCTAATGATAACAAAATGAAACATGTGATCATTTTTCTCTTTTACAGCAAGATACCATCCATGTAAATTGGACCTACGCAATTTGGTCCACAAGCGACGGGACCAGTACTCCGCAGATGTACTTACAAAAGACCTGCTGGAGAACATCGCCTGGGAGAGTCGACCCCCACCCAGTAATTGGAAACCCAAGGGTCTTCTAGTCGCTCATATGCATGAACACAGAGCAGCAATAAACAGGTCACTATAAGCTTTGTATTCATACGGTTTTGGTAGGAATTCATTGGATTTGTGTAGGCTGTAAAAAGCTCTGGGTTTTTTTCTCTAGCCATGTCTGTAAGCTTGGCAAAGATCTAGATATAAATGTCTTTGAATTCACTAATTAAGCTTCTAGACATTAAATCTAAAATGAGCTACCGAAGTTCAAAACATTTTACAATTTGGTTACAGCTTATATTAATCAATCTTATACAGCATGTGGGAAGTATGTTGGAGGTATCTTTGATATGAGTCGTCAAAACACTTGTGGTTAGTCAGTCGCCAACCTAACCTTTTCATGTCTGATTAGAGAATTATATTGTTCCTTGCTTACTATGATAAAAAGTCGGTACCGGACTCTGTATTCCCTCAGGGAGTGATACCGGACTTACCAGCCTTACCTCTTGGACGTTGGATCTCTTTTTCTTCATATATGATAAAAAGTGTACCCTCAACCACTTCATAAAGTCAGATGATTAAGGATAGATTTTAGCATTATCTATTATATAAGAGGCATTTCATATATAACATTTTAATTTGAACATGTCTTATGTTGCCAGAATCCAAGTGTCACATGATCACCTATATTTTGCGACCGGATCAAATGATGGCAACGTTAAGATCTGGGAATGTGAGAAACTGGAGGGCAAAAGTGTGGCAAACAGATCTAAACAAACGCTTAACAAACAAGGTAAATATTGTTAACAAAGTATAAACTTGTATACTCTCAACAAACAAGGTAGATATTGTAAACAAAGTATAAACTTGTATACTCTCAACAAACAAGGTAGATATTGTAAACAAAGTATAAACTTGTATACTCTCAACAAACAAGGTCAATATTGTAAACAAAGTATAAACTTGTATACTCTCAACACACAAGGTAGATATTGTAAACAAAGTATAAACTTAAACAAAGTATAAACTCTCAACAAACAAGGTAATATTGTAAACAAAGTATAAACTTATATACTCTCAACAAACAAGGTAAATATTGTAAACAAAGTATAAACTTGTAAGAATATTGTAAACTCTACACAAAGTATAAACTTGTATACTCTCAACAAACAAGGTAGATATTGTAAACAAAGTATAAACTTGTATACTCTCAACAAACAAGGTAGATATTGTAAACAAAGTATAAACTTGTATACTCTCAACAAACAAGGTAGATATTGTAAACAAAGTATAAACTTGTATACTCTCAACAAACAAGAAGATATTGTACACAAAGTATAAACTTGTATACTCTCAACAAACAAGGTAGATATTGTAAACAAAGTATAAACTTGTATACTCTGTATAAACTTGTATACTCTCAACAAACAAAGATATTGTACACAAAGTATAAACTTGTATACTCTCAACAAACAAGGTAAATATTGTACACAAAGTATAAACTTGTATACTATAACAAACAAGAAGATATTGTACACAAAGTATAAACTTGTATACTCTCAACAAACAAGGTAAATATTGTACACAAAGTATAAACTTGTATACTCTCAACACACAAGGTAAATATTGTAAACAAAGTATAAACTTGTATACTCTCAACAAACAAGGTATACTCTCAACAAACAAGGTAAATATTGTACACAAGTATAAGTAAACAAAGTATAAACAAAGTATACTTGTATACTCTCAACAAACAAGTAAATATTGTAAACAAAGTATAAACTTGTATACTCTCAACACACAAGGTAAATATTGTAAACAAAGTATAAACTTGTATACTCTCAACACACAAGGTAGATATTGTACACAAAGTATAAACTTGTATACTCTCAACAAACAAGGTCAATATTGTAAACAAAGTATAAACTTGTATACTCTCAACACACAAGGTAAATATTGTAAACAAAGTATAAACTTGTATACTCTCAACACACAAGGTACACAAAGTATATTGTCAACACAAAGTATAAACTTGTATACTCTCAACAAACAAGGTCAATATTGTAAACAAAGTATAAACTTGTATACTCTCAACAAACAAGAAGATATTGTACACAAAGTATAAACTTGTATACTCTCAACAAACAACACAAAATATTGTACTCTCAACAAAAGTACACAAAGTATAAACTTGTATACTCTCAACAAACAAGGTAAGATACACAAAGTATAAACTTGTATACTCTCAACAAACAAGGTAGATATTGTAAACAAAGTATAAACTTGTATACTCTCAACAAACAAGATATTGTACACAAAGTATAAACTTGTATACTCTCAACAAACAAGATATTGTAAACAAAGTATATTGTAAACAAACAAGTAAATTGTATACTCTCAACAAACAAGGTAAATATTGTACACAAAGTATAAACTTGTATACTCTCAACAAACAAGGTAGATATTGTAAACAAAGTATAAACTTGTATACTCTCAACAAACAAGGTAAATATTGTACACAAAGTATAAACTTGTATACTCTCAACAAACAAGGTAAATATTGTACACAAAGTATAAACTTGTATACTCTCAACAAACAAGGTAGATATTGTACACAAAGTATAAACTTGTATACTCTCAACAACAAGTAGATATTGTAAACAAAGTATCAACAAACAAGGTAGATATTGTATACTCTCAACAAACAAGAAGATATTGTAAACAAAGTATAAACTTGTATACTCTCAACAAACAAGGTAAATATTGTACACAAAGTATAAACTTGTATACTCTCAACAAACAAGGTAGATATTGTAAACAAAGTATAAACTTGTATACTCTCAACAAACAAGGTAGATATTGTAAACAAAGTATAAACTTGTATACTCTCAACAAACAAGGTAGATATTGTAAACAAAGTATAAACTTGTATACTCTCAACAAACAAGAAGATATTGTACACAAAGTATAAACTTGTATACTCTCAACAAACAAGAAGATATTGTAAACAAAGTATAAACTTGTATACTCTCAACAAACAAGGTAAATATTGTACACATAGTGTAAACTTGTATACTCTCAACAGACAAGGTAAATATTGTACACAAAGTATAAACTTGTATACTCTCAACAAACAAGGTCAATATTGTAAACAAAGTATAAACTTGTATACTCTCAACACACAAGGTAGATATTGTAAACAAAGTATAAACTTGTATACTCTCAACAAACAAAGTAAATATTGTAAACAAAGTATAAACTTGTATACTCTCAACAAACAAGGTCAATATTGTACACAAAGTATAAACTTGTATACTCTCAACAAACAAGGTAAACAAAGTATATTGTAAACAAAGTATAAACTTGTATACTCTCAACAAACAAGGTAGATATTGTAAACAAAGTATAAACTTGTATACTCTCAACAAACAAGGTAAATATTGTTAACAAAGTATAAACTTGTATACTCTCAACAGTGTAGCTGGGAATGTTATTCAAAAGAAAATCGCACTCAGTGTTTTCTATTTCAATAAAAGTGGTAGTAAACATACAGATTTCACTATACCATGAAAAATATAACATAAATGTACTAATTTCATTGCAATAAAATTTTAATGGAATGTCATTTTTTCCAGGTTAGTGCAATAATGAGTTACACAACCAATATTTTATAATGTTGCAAAACGTTATTTTAACATCATTTCAATGTTAATATAACATTATTATTTTCAACATCAGTTAACATTAAGTTCTAACGTTAAATTTTAACATTATTCTAATGTAGATGCGTATTTCATAAAATAACATTATTTAGTGTTATGAAGAATTGGTAGTTTAACCCATCCACAATTATTGCTTTATAGGAAGTACAGGAACTCCAGTTAATGCAATCATATTTAACTGCAGGATTTTGCAGCGCAAAAAGCAGTAAAATATGATTACCGATAAAATATGTGCATACCGGTATACAATATTCCTCTTATTTTGCTAAAGCTGTATTAGAAATGTAAGATACAGCCTTCACATTGTTTATGTATATAGAATTAAGCTGTCCTTCTATGTTTGGTATTATTAAGATGTAGGAGGAAAAAGATATAAGATTTAATTAATCTTTTCAAGTTATTTCCCTTTTTTGTTGTATTAGGTGGTCACATTAAGAGTTTGGTGTTCTGTGAGGGCTCCTTGTCACTCGCATCTGCCTCGGACAATGGGACTATATACATCTATAGGTAAGAAATTCCTCATCATATATATTGATCCGACAAAAAAAAAGACACCAAGTCTACGTCTGATAACTGACTTAGTAACAGTCAGATCTAATTCTTTTTGGACCAATAATCTGCCTCACTTCCAGTTGAAAATGTATCATATTTAAACCAAATTACCAACATTTGCAATTTACTGCTAAAAATTCCCTACTCAATTTACCAGTTTTTTTTCAAAATAAGCCAAAAAAAGGCCCATTTCAAATTAGTGGAAAAAAGCCTTGGCTGGTTCATGCATGTTCAAATAATTATGATGCAAGATATCTACGTAATGGTAAGATATATTAGATAATTAGATCAAAAATTATCGTGTTTCGTTCTTCTAGGATTCATCTCGGATGCTAAATTTTACTTCCTAGGAGACACTTGCAGTAATTAAAAATTGATCAAAAGTGATGTCAATATCAAGGCTTACTAGCCCGTAATTCAGTAAATTGTGCATTTTTTGTTTGAAATTTTGAAAGCCACTTTTATAGAAGAGTCATGTCCCTTGGATTATAATACTTGTGTACTGTGTGTACTACATTCTGTATTATATGTTCATGTGTTGGATAACATATATTGTAGAATTGAGACTGGAAAAGCAAATATGATCAGTGACATACCGGTCAGCAAGGAGGATTACGGACAAGTGGTGGACATCACTCACTTTGATACTGGTCAGTTTGACTTTATACCCTCCTGTATATTACAGATAGAGCAAGATATTAAGGGTACAAAATCTCGTTCACCAATAGAACAATGCTTTGAAAGACTCATGTGGATGAAAAAGATACCAACAACCAACCAAAGGCAAAACTGTCTGCTTTCATTTTACACATTAATTTGATATTTGATATATGATCTGATTAATAATTATGAACTTTGAATAAGGTAGCTATTTAAAATTTTGTAAGGAGAGAAAATCCTAAAGATGCTCATCAATAACAATCCTAGTTAAAGAAAAGTTATTTATATGAAAGTTTTCTGTTTGTTTTAAAATTGTACTTTATTTTCCAGGTGCACAGTCTGTGTTAGCTTATGCCACTGTGAATGGCTACCTGGTAGGATTGGACCTCCGTTGTAATGAGGAGGTGTGGCGACTGAAGAATGATCCAAAAACAGGTTTGTCAGACTACAAATGTATGTTAAGAACTCTTAATAGTGTTGCTTTGGATCTAAGACAGGAAAAGTTAAACACATTTCATGCTCCCTGCAGAGTCATGATTAGGGCTGTTGTTTTACCCTTTGCCGTCATTCTGTCATTGTTTCCTCTGCCTTCACATGTCCTTCTAACAGATACAGATATAGAACTGTAGTTTGGTATGTTGTTGAGGAATGAAATGCAGGTTCTGATATGGTTTTGGTGAATTTATTTTCCTACTCCTACAACAAAGTTTGGGGAGGGTGATAATTTATATTGGGTTCAGTACGTTCATCCATGCATTTGCTCAGTTTACAACAGATCTTTTAAAAACTGCCTGTAAGATATGGAGACGTGCCTCCTGATGTGATGTAAAATAGATGTCATTAATGTCATCATAAGTACAAGAAGGATTTGCTCGTTATGATTAATTTAGATTTTGAGGTTATCTTGAAATGTTTTAATATAACTTAATTTTGAATAAGGAGTACTCTACCAGAGTTAAACTGTATAATAAGACTCCATCTCAAAATGATCCTGACTGTTCACAGGTTGATAAACCTAGGAAACAAACAAACAAACAAACTATATGATGATATTGAAATATTTCTATATAATAATGTATCAGTACTTTGTTTGAATATCCTATTGCAGCATGATAAACACTACATATTTTGCTGTCTGTGATGGAGTATTTTGCAATATTGATAATATTCTGTTTTATTGCAGGTTTGATTTCATCGTTTGCGGTACACCACTCTCAATGCTGGTTGGCTGTAGGGACCAGTAGCGGTACACATGTTTGTTGGGATCTCAGGTTTCAGCTTCCCATAACTTCCATCACTCACCCTACTGGGGCCCGCGTCCGCAAACTCATTGTCCATCCAAAGGAACAATCCTGGATCATATCAGCCACTCAGGGTAACAACGAGGTGTCTATGTGGGATGTTGAGACCGGCGCCCGACAGAAAGCTTTGTGGGCCAGTACGGCCCCTCCTCTTTCTCAGAACCAGGTATAACTGTGTACTTTTAGCAGATTTGTGTACAAGTACCTTTCCCAAAATTTAACCAGTTTAGCAACAATAAACCTATAATAGATCAATGTACATTCTCAGAACTTAACACTTAGTTTTATAATTCAGGACTCTGTATAGGACCTTTCTTAGAATTTTACACTTAACTATATATAACTCAGGACTCTATATATAGGATCTATATTCCTTTCTCAAAACTGAACACTTAACTATATAACTGGGCACTCACAGAACCATGTACAGCTGCAGTAACTCTCATAGCTTTTTACATCTTTCTATCCTTCATGTAACATTATGCATAACATTATGAAGATAAGTTTTAAACTGAAACTTTATATGTACATCCTGACAATAAAAACCATGACTGAAAAAGATCAGAGTTTTCACAACTAAATCCTGTAGAACTAAAACTACGACGATAAATTATGCATAATTTATGTGGGATTTATTTTCACTTCAATTGCGAGTTCAAATTCTTCGCAATAAATGTCGGAAAATTATAACTTTGGATGATACCCATGTTGAAACAGTCATTAACATAACTTGTTTTTATAGACAATGTGTACAATAAAACCTATTAACAAGCAAAACTGTAGAAATGCATTACTTTCCAATTAAGATACTTTCATGTATATTCACATGACACACATAAAGAGAAGTAAGTTTGCAAAGGACAGTGTATATTTAACATTTCTTTGCATGCTCTCACCAAATGTGTCCCCTATGTGTAGTTATTTACTAAAACTTTCAGACTCAAAGGATAAATGTTTTGAAATCTCAAGACATTGGTACTACTGTAACATCATCGAGAATCTTAATTGAGTTTATATTTCATTTGAGAATTCATGAAATAAGTCTCAGAAATTTTTATTTTTGCAAGACATGTCAAACATAAATTCAAAATTCACAATCAAGACAAGTTTCACAAAATCTCATTGGAAATGAAAACAACATACTTTTTACCACATTACTCAGAAAAGCTACATTTCAATGGGTTTTGAAGTCAGAAAGTGAATGACAAAATCAAATGGAGGTATAAAATCATTCTGACCATAGATATGGAACTGATGTGCCTTTCTGTTCAATATGGAAAAACTGTCAGTTATCAATGATGTTTGCTTGAAAAATCAATCATGTTAGAAAAAGGACCTTAAATTTGTTTCTATTTGATAAGTGATTTATAAAATTCATTACAAATTTTTCGTTCTACCGAGCTTCAAATTTGAAAATACACAGTATTTGGGCATGTTTCATAATCACATATCTTATTAAACTTGTGTGATATCCTAACATTTGAAATCTAATTGTTTCAACAGACCAATAGTCATTCTATTTTCAATGTGCATCCTAACATTTTGAAATTTAATTGTTTCAACAGACTAGTAGCCATTCTATCTACGGTATGCACATGGCTGTGACAGACAACAATGTATTCATGCTGACTGGAGGTTCAGACATGAGAGCGCGCTTCTGGGACATCACATACCCAGCCAACTCATTCATACTAGCATCAGCAGCAAATGATAGCCAGCACACTGGGGCCAGCTACAGGTAAATATATGCTTAGCTTTATGCTAGCTTCCTTATAAGGAAATGTTGTTGATGTAGTGATGTTTCCTTATTAGGATTACACTACTGAAATATGACATAGTGACCAACAGGTGTGACGTGTTTAGTAGTCAGTGCAGTAATATTTTTTTTATTCCGTTTGTTATTCTAGGTCAAGGTTGATAGACGGCACTGAGGTCATACAGGAAACCTACACCAAGAAGCAGGTGAGCAACGATGACATTCCTCGGCGTGGCCCGGAAGCTCCCTCTCAAGGCCATCATGACATCATCAGTGACATAAATCTGTGTCAGACATCACAATGTCTTGTCATCACAGCATCACGTGATGGTGTAGTGAAAGTGTGGAAGTAAAGAAACAATGGCTGTAACATGTCAAAATCCGGAAATGAGGATAATCAGTGGTCGTCATTATGTTACTAACAAGTCATCAAGGTGAACAAGCCTTGTATTATAACAATTGTACTCCTCAAAGTCTAAAATGTTGAACAAGTGCTGGATCCCAAAAAAAATTAAATGATTTCACCAGATAATGATGCTTTTCAAAAGTGCTATAAGTTTGTTCTGTTCGTGGATAAGGCCTGAAGGTTTTGTGCAATAGAAAATAAGTTCACTGCGTTATACAATGATTAGAATTTGAACCTCCTTTCAGTACGTACTTATCCTTGTGGTTAGGAGAAAATGGATTAACATGAAGTGCTCATTGATGATTCACATGTTCGTTTTTGTGTCTGAGTGTGATTTTTAACTGTTGATATGACAGTTGTGAGTATAACTCATGTGGGGATTTAGAAACCTGGTCCAAGTCTCAAGCCGGGATTTGAATATTAAGAATGTCATTCACTGTCTAATATTAGTCATAGTTTTATTTTTTTGTTTTTTGAACAGATGTCATGATAATTTGATCATAAAACTTAAAAAAAAAAGAAATGCTTAATATCATGTTATAAGTTAAAAAAGACCAAATATTTGCCTTCATGAATGATGATGTTATTTTGAATAGTTTTGTTTGAACATTCATGATTTCATGAATTCCATCTCACAGGGGTTAGACTAGAAATACCAAAGCTATATTGATCATTACGACATCATACTTATATCTTCAAAGCAAATTTCTTCATGATCACACTCTTGTTTAAATCTGACATTTACATTTAACAATTAAAAGGATTGGAAATGTCATTAAAGACATTGAACAGTGATAAAAGTCATTAAAAATGTCATGTGATGTTTGTTTGGTTTACCTGTTTAATGTCTTATCTCACCAATACACATCAGTAGTCTACATACTTGAGAGAGGTAGCCTTGTCCTCTTATCCAGGACAGGTATGTCCATGTTTTTACGGGTGAGATTTCTTTATCTCATAAGGTTGAGACGGGGAGATTCCTCTTTCATATCTATCATAATATGACATCACATTTACAATGGGAAGTATTTGGACAACAAAATCACATGCCTAAGAAGACTGGCAGGGTTAGAGAAAAATAACCATTCACCCCCATGTTGGTAAAATAGATCTGAACCCATTGGAAAAGATTATTAAGTTACAAACAATCAGGAAAGCTTGTATTTGCTAAGGTAATCATTTTTCTGATTGGTCTGAGATTACCTATCTCACCTGCAAAGCAGTGAAAAAATCTGTTACCAAGGTAATACCCACCTCTGGCAAGTCTTTTGCCTTGACCATCCTGTACATTGTCAGAGCTGGGCCGGGTGGCTGGAACAGACTGGTGTACAAGAGCTGGGCCAGGTGTCTGGAACAGACTGGTGTACAGCATAACTCGTAGTGTTCCCCAGATTCTGTCAAGGTAGTCATCATTGGTCCATTGTTGTTGCTCCAATGTCAATGTGCCACGTAATGATAGTGTAATGGTTAATTCGTGTGAGAGTAGTGTATAGCATTGTCCTTAAGGTGCTTTATTGTGATTCAAAGCTTCAGACAAAAGTATCAGAATGTGCTACACATTTAGTGAGGAAGAATGCTTCTTTGAAAGTGTTGGAGTGATGAACTTGTCTAAAAAAAACCTGAATGTATGATGAAGTAATGATATTGTGATTTTAATTATAAGATATATTTGTTGGTATTCAGAAACTGAATGATGAAAATGATAGTGCATTGCATGACTAAATAAAGTATTACTACAGAAATAGTATTACGTGTCTCTTCTTTTTTAATTTTGCTTTTGAATATTAATTTCATGACCCCAGGGTCTCGTATTTCTCCGTTGGGAGGGGGCAAAGTTCACTATAGTTTATACAGGAACATTTTTTTTTCATTTTAAATAATTTGGTAAAAAATTATAAGTATAGGATGACAGTTTTGAAGATCTGCATATACCGACACTGGCTGACCCCAAGGGTTTAAATCATACCTCTTTAGTCCTATTATCATCAATGTCACAATTTCTTTTTGGTACCACTGGAGAACTACTTACTCTATAACCTTTATGTTCAGTTTGTCCTGACTCTAGACTCTCCACAAAGTACACTCCAGTGTACGTAGTTCCCAACCATATATAAAAGAATGTTCCATTGTACTCTAAACCACGTGATTCGTCCACCCACCACATTTCTTTGAAAAGATAACTTATATATAATGACAGAATGGGGAAAAATCACGTATTGCGGAAAACCAGATATTATAAAATAGACATTTCAGGAGCGAATTTTAAGATTAATTAAGATCATTGTTGTTCTTAGAAATCCGTTAATTAATTAATCAATTAATTCCACTTACGGAGTATCACAACAAGTTTTGCTTGGTCGACAAACTAGCCAGCAATAAAACATTGCTTTAATATCATTTGGAGTCTACTTAGATTCGGCAGTCCATCGCAATCGAGTAATTTATGTATCCTTTAGATATACCAGTAAATATATAAGAATATATAGTTAGTATTTAGTCTTCAGAAAGGCTAGGTACTGTTTGGGTCGCGTTTCTGGGATACCTAGCAAATCTAGATATTTTCATAAGCAGGAAAAAATGGTGTTTGCAGTCAAGATGCATACACAGGCACGTACTTTACATGCAAATTGGTCTTTAGGATCTCGAAATGCTGACTGGTGTTTTTATTTTTTTAATTCATCTTTAAACAAAAATATACAAAGAATGATAATAATCAAAGAAAGATTATTGAAAACTAACTGCATATAAGAAAATGTTTTGGAAAACTTTGTTGTCCACAACTTTACTGAAATTGACATATGGCATTGAAACTCAAGAAAGGAACTTACAGAGGTAGAAATAGTAATGATTATAGAATTCCCTTTTTCCGTCTTTCTACAACTAATTCTTCTTTCTTGCCGTCTACTATGCATTGTTGGAATAATCTGGATAACTCAATCATGTCGTCATCCTCATTAAGTGTTTTTAAAAAGTCTCTAAAACCTATCGATCACATGTCTCCACCTTCTCATTTTGGGATAGGTGACCGTAAATTAAATATCACACTAACGAAACTTAGACACCAATGCAGTTCTTTAAATTATGATTTATTCAGGATAAACCTTGTGGATACCCCCAGTTGTTCTTGTGGACATCTGTGTGAAAATTCTTATAATTTTTTCTTTTGTGCTGTCATTATAATTTACAAAGAAATGTTCTTTTTCAACATTTAGATGATTTAAATTTACCCATACATTGTGATTTAGATTTGATATTGTATGGTAATAATGATCTTTCTTTTGAAACAAACTCGAAAAATTTTTTGAATGTTTATTAAATCTAGTAATAGGTTCACTTGACGTCATCCGCCTAAACTACCCCCTCAATTCTCCTCTCTCTCTCTCTCTCTCTCTCTCTCTCTCTCTCTCTCTCTCTCTCTCTCTCTCTCTCTCTCTCTCTCTCTCTCTCTCTCTCTCTCTCTCTCTCTCTCTCTCTCTCTCTCTCTCTCTCTCTCTCTCTCTCTCTCTCTCTCTCTCTCTCTCTCTCTCTCTCTCTCTCTCTCTCTCCGAAAATATGCAGTTAGTGTATTTGTTGCCATATGGCTATTGCGTTGTCTAACTATATTTTGTTATATATTGGGGAAAGGGTGTTTCATAAGTTGTAATAACTTGTACCTAATCCTGTTGTAATAATTTTTGCAATAAAATATGTTTAATTAAAAAAATACAGAGGTAGACGAGAAATGTCGCCCAACTTCCCTTCAAATAAAACAAGACATACATAAACTGAACATGAACATATTTCTCTTCGTGTCGATAACTTTAAAGTTGAGGTTAACATGATACATCATGTACTAGAAAACAGATAAAACATTATAATCATATATTTCTTTTGTCTATATAAGGATGTAGAACATGGCGTTCCAATCTTTACACTGTCTCTTATAGTTGAAATGTTGGGAAGATAGTGATTTTTTTTCATTGTATCGAGCGTAATATTGAATAACAAAACAATTAATAGTTTTAATTTCTCTCCAGTTTTTTTTTTCTTTATAATTTTTTTTCTTGACTTCTATATCGGCGGCAAGATAAATTATTTTAGTTTCTTCGTATTAAAGTATCGCTCCGAATCAACAGAAAGCTATTAGCTGATTATTTAAATCCATACCCACACCAACTACAATTTTACATCAATAAGAGAGAAAGAAGAAGAAAACACACTAGCTAAAATTTACTGTTTAGAATTTCAAGAAACGCCTCACAAGAAAGTAACAGCCATGTAAAGATTATTGACACAATAATACATCCTTTTGGAAATACGTTTTCCCAAGTTCATGGTATTATTGTGTATATTTTTAACTGAGCTAAGAATAAGATGTAGTACTGTTCTCTTCACTTTATCCGTTTATATAATTTAAATCAAACGAAAGAAAATAAAGTTGAGAAGAGGTTAAAGTAAATTTCCAATCGACCAATGAAACGAGAAATCTTATACCACCTGTAATTTGCTGAATGGAGGTCAATAACTTTGGCATTTAGCGAATCCCGCCAAACGTTTACATTCATTACTGATAGCCCAGAAGTCTGGAATTTATCATGTTACCAGCAGTGTCATATCTTACAAGGACAGTGTGTATTCCGATTCTCCCATAGATATATACAGGAATTCATTCCTCGCTCACTTGTTGATAAATTTATCACACAGTTCTTCGTCAACGAGTGTAATGCATTTATAATTAGAATATGTATGTCTCTTTAATATCTCTAACACAAAATGTTCTAATTTTTACCATCACTTAATTTATCTTTAATAATAAAGCACGGTTTCCAAGATCGCAGGCTTTAGACACTGCGGGTAGAATTTAGCCTCAAGGTTTGCTGTAACCACCTGCATGCCATGTTTGAATTCATTTGAAAATGGCAACATTTATTGAAAAAATTACATTTATTTAATAAATAACAACATTTATTTAATAATTTCTTTCGATCACTTTGGATTTTTCACATTTACCTCCAAGTTTCAGACTTTTGATCCTTAGCATTACTGACAAATCCAAGAAGGACGAAACAACTGTATAATGAAGTTTTATTCATCAGTATTTGGCTCTGCTGTAACTTAATTCTAAATTTGTATTTTAAGATGCGATTCACTTGTTTGTCTTTTGTACAATTTTCTACATAAAAGTAAATTAAATGTATATAGGAAATTCTGCGGGCAGATTTTATATACTGTTAAATTACTATACAGCTTTTGTCCTTTGGGTTATGTCCCTGACAGCCAATGAAAAAGTTATCCGTCTTTTTATTCACTTAAACTTATCGCATTTTAAATTTAAACTCCTTTCTGTCCAGAAAACGTTATCCTCTGCTTTCATATACAAAAGTTTGCTAACTGGGGGATATATATGATTCAATAAAATTGCAAATACTATCTTCCTAGTTATTGCAAGGTATTTTCTATAAACAGTGTTATTTTGAAAGAATGAAAATTAATGTTACTTTTAAATTAATTTTTTTATCAGTAATGAGTTGAACTTAGAATCCTATGCTATGAGCGAGTCTGAAAAAAAACCCACCAATTCGACTGTTTCCCACCTATATTACATCTGGAGTTGGAAAACAAGCTTAAAGCTTATATTAATTCTTTTTCCAAGTACAGATAAGAGTTTAATGAATCTCTAGGACTGGTAACACTATGCAACAATACAAAACAATGATAGTTTTACAATCGTGCAGTATAATATACATATGGTGAAGAGAATTGATTGTAAACATAATTCAGGATCCTTTTGGTCTAGTCTAAAGATATATGTTACCTTACGAAGTCATCCTAATATCACAAGCTGTAGTAAATATATAACACCACACCTACACTTTCCACACAAGAAACACATGGTACAAGTAATGTTTATCTAATTTGATATAATTTACGATTAAAAAAATCTAAAAAAAATTGTTTTCTGTTTTGATTAAATATCATGTTCATATAGAAAAGTTTCACTAAGAATAATAATTATAGTGAGGGCTTTTGTCTGATTATGGTGTTAATGTAGATGCCAAGTAAAAATGGCGGAGATTTTCAACAAATACATAATAGACTTTTTCAGTTTCTAAAGATTGTTACAATTATGTCATAATTTTTTTTTGAAAAATTGATATGAGAATGTATGCTTAAAATGTTGGAATACTGAGGGATTGTTACTCTGCCTTTTCGTCTGAAAATTATTCTCCTCACAGACGAATATTTCATTATTATAATTATAACATTTGTACTGGGCAACGTAAGACTGTAAATTGAGTTCTAGAATTGAGTATAAATAATTTCTAAAGCTATTATCGATGATTTTGAATTTTGATAGATGTAATGGATCTGAGAAGATTTGGAGTTTATTTCTTCTAAACATTCATTAGATAATTGATATTGTAGGATTTAAGTGAAACAAGGACGTTGTCGGGTTATATATGAATTTACACTGTCGTAAGACATTGTGTTTTTAAAATATAGCTACACGATAGAGCTTACACTAAAGTTACAAGGTAGAGTTTACACTGAAGTTACAAGGTAGAGTTTACACTGAAGTTACCAGGTAGAGTTTACACTAAAGTTACAAGGTAAAGTTTACACTATAGTTACAAGGTAGAGTTTACACTATAGTTACAAGGTAGAGTTTACACTATAGTTACAAGGTAGAGTTAACACTATAGTTACAAGGTAGAGTTTACACTAAAGTTACAAGGTAGAGTTTACACTATA